TGGGGGAAAAAGGGGGACATTTGTAATACTTTCAACAATAAAGATAAATTTAAAATAAAAAAAAGAGACTGTCCTACTTGGTTTTTATGTTTGTTTGTGTTTTGTTTGTTTGTTTACAGAATTGAGTGGATGCCACAGCTTTGTCAGTAGCTGGTCCTCAATTGCCATACAAGATGGCAAATATCAAGTGCCCCCAAATGTTCACGTGTCCTGTTCAATACTACAGAAACTAAGTCATTGCTGAGGGACAGGGCCGGAGAGTGGGGCAGCATGGATTTCTACAACACAATCTCAAAGTTATTTTTATTTTAATTCCATTTGTAAAATACATAATACTTCGCAAAGCAAGGTGAGGTATCGGGGGAAAAAGACAGTAGGGTCTCACACGTACAGAGAGATTAGAGTTAACTCCCCACAATAACTAGAGCAGCAGTTGAGGAAACTGGAGAAACCACATCAAGGCTTGGTTCCCCATTGTGCTTCGCCTTGCCACAACGTCTTCAATTTCACTTGCGTTTAATTCACAAATAATGTTGTGAGTGAAAGTGACGTAAAATCTCCTTTTCTAAAACATTACTAGATATTTTTAGAGTTAACAGAAGGAGCATGTTCTTACGACTGCAGTCATCTCACAGAATTATCTAAGCCTTCTTGGCACCTTTTGTCTCATTTACTGAGACTGTACGGCCTGCACATCTGAAAATACTATCTATCTGACCCCTTACAAAAATGTTTGTCAACCCCCCGGGCTATAGTATCCCTTGACCCAACTTTTAAACAGTCTGTTGCACTTTTGAGATGCCGCTCTTTCAGCAGGTAAACAATCTACAAACGGGTGTTTATAAAGAAGCACTTATCTGCGTGTTGATTTTCATTCATTATTTTCAAGAGAGGCCCTGGGGCAATTACATATTTCCCCTTATAGATTTTTAGGAAGACATCACAAGACTTCATGGAATTAGCAGGCAGCTCCCAGTGAGCGCTCCACAGGAATGTTCTGGACACGTATGAAATGTTCTTTTGGTTGAGTCAGGACACACAGCCAAATGGTGCCCAAGAATGTGAGTCCAGCTCAACATTAAATTTGTCTCTCAAACTCTCCCTGAGGCCCCTCAATACTCATGGGCAAAATGGCCAAATACTTGGGCCTCTGCTCTTTCTTCAGGCCTTGGTGGCATCGGGTCCCACCGGGTCAGTTCTTACCCATGCTGGGCAGCGTGCATGTCCCTTCCTTCTAGTATAGATTCCGGTGGGTGATATGGATCTTTGTCACCCCATATGCTGTACTGGCCAGTCCTCCCTTGGGTGCATTGTGCTCTCTGTCATCCTCAGCTTCTTCAGGGGTCCCACTGGCTTCCCCTCAGTGATGGTCTCACTTAGCAACTCCTGCAGTTCTGGCCTGCACTCTGTAAGGGCTCCGAGCCTCTGTGCTAGGCTCTCTCTCTCCCTCTATGCTAGAACATAGCCTCTATGTTCACTTTTCTGCCCCGGGTTATATTAGGACAGTGGCTCTGTGCACACATCTCTGCTTTGTTTTCATCGGCACCTCTGCTTGAATATGAGAGGGTGTCAGACCCAGTGGCCATGTGGAGAGGCATGGCAGGGATGGGAGAACTGGGGTAGGTACAGTGCACCTGGCTAAGGGTGGACCTGGCTGAAAATTGAAAAAAATTTAAAAAATATATATCCTTATTGATTTCAGAGAGAAGAAAGGAGAGGGAGAGAGAGAGACAGAAACATCAACGATGAGAAAGTCATTGATCAAGCCCACAACCCGGGCATGTGCCCTGACCGGGAATTGAACTGTGATCTCCTGGATCCTAGGTCGATGCTCAACCGCTGAGCTATGCCCAGTGAAAGATATTTTTTTTTAAATTGTGATAAAGCCTGGCCAGTGTGGTTCAGCGGTTGAGCATCGACCTAGGATCCAGGAGATCAGGGTTCGATTCCCGGTCAGGGCACATGCCCGGGTTGTGGGCTCAATCCTCAGTCGGGGGCGTGCGGGAGGCAGCCGATCAATGACCCTGTCATCAATGATGTTTCTATCTCTCTCTCTCCCTCTCCCTTCCTCTCTCTGAAATCAGTAATGACATATTTTTTTTTAAAGTGGTAAGACATATGGAGGCTTTTAGTTTAGTATTTTAGTCCTTTGATATGACCTGGTTAAAAGAAAAACAAAAAATTAAGAAGAAAGTAGAGTTTGGTGATGAAATCCATTAGGGAAATGCTGTCCACAGTGCCCCCTCTGGGGGATTCACAAAGCCTCCCAGAAGCCCTCCTAAAATGAATTCTGCTCATCTTTACTTAACAAAGCACATCTGAACTGTACTGGAAGATGGGATCCTCTTTTCCATTGGATTTGAGAATATAAAACACTATGCTAGGATCTTTCTATAGTCTCTGCTCCAATAAGAGCAGCGTAAAACAAACACACGCTATGGTACATATTTGCAAAACAATTTTTAAAAATCTCTAAACGTATCAGAAGTGTCCCTTGTTCAACCGGGCAATGAAACCATGAATGCCACATAGTGTTTATTGCAAAGTGGGGCTGCCTCGCTTCGATGCGCGTGACCCTCCCCCCCCGGGAAGCTGTGACTGGCTGCTGTGCCAACGGGCCATGAGACAGGTGTGGACTCTCACCTGCTGTTGACACGGGGAAGGACAGGGCAGTCAGTAAGGGACTCTCGTGCATCTCTTGGATTCCAGAAATGAGAGCTCAGCTAAGCAACATAACGATAACAAAAAGATTTTAAACCAATAAGTCTTGTGTCTAGTAATTTATTTGAGGTATAGTGTCCCTAAACAGTTATAAATGCATTATTTTTACACCTTTGAATCACTTTCAGGAATGTTCATTGTCTTTCTGCCTGTGGATTGTGATTGTTACTATTTGCACCCATTTAGTACCATGTTTAGCCTGGTTCGTTTCACCAGCCATTCGGTGCTGTCAGGTCTCCTCCGCCCTCCAAGTAGAAAGTGGACTACATTTTAAGAACAGGGTGTGAAAAGAAGTAACATAGTTTCTTCTTCAGGAGGCATCTCATGACCTAAGTCTCCTCCCCTTCCCTCTTCTCTCCCTTCCCTGCCCAACCCCCCTTCCCTGCCACCCCACTCCTGTCTTCCACACACACAGCAGCAAGAAAACAAAAAAGAGGTTTAGCATTTTTTACCAAAGGCCTGTAAGCTTCAACATGTCACTGGCTTCATGTTTTTAAAAATACGTTTTTATTGATTTTTTTATAGAGAGGGGAAGGGACAGGAATAGAGAGAGAGAAACCTGGATGAGAAACATCAATCGGCTGCCTCCTGCACGCCCCCTACTGGGGATGGAGCCCACAACCCAGGCATATGCCCAGGAATCGAATCAGCAACCTCTTGGTTCATGGGTCATCGCTCAACTGCAGAGTCACATCAACCAGGCTGGCTTCATATTTTATCTCTCTTGTTCACTGAGTCAACAATTTCAACCTCAGTCCACCCTAAGTTCTCATCTCTCCAAATGCATTTCTGTTCCCTTATAATAATCTTTCCTGATATGCTCTGATTTGAGAACAATTTTTTTCTATCAGGATCTAATCCAAACCTCAAAAGACACAAAGTTCAGGTGAAGGCAGAGTCTTCCTTGCACATATATTTCACCACCACTGGGGTAGATGAGGGGGTGGCTTTGGTTACCGTGTAGATGCAAAGCTTCCATGTGTAGATACAGTCATGGCCCCAGAGAACCAAGTTAGATTGAAGGCAGATTCTGCTACTGTCCTTTGTGGCCACAGCTTCTCACAAAAGAATGTCCACAAGTTTAGATCCGGGATGACAAAATCTTAGGAGCATCTTTCTTCTCCACATCCAGGGACAGAACTGGAACAGAACAAACGGACGTGGTTTCTAAACGTCAACTCTAAACAGTGTCCACCTTTGTGATTCAGGTTAGAGAAAAAGAGGAACACGTGGTGGAAAAAGGAAAGGGATAAAAAGAAAGAAAAAAGGCAGGAAGAAAAAATATTCATTAACTAAAAGGATTAAGTAAATATCATCATGAATATCTCAGACCAAATACAGTATTTATAGATAATACTTACAGAAACTTTATAAACTTGGGAACACAAGCACACATACAATTTAATACAAATAACTATTCATTTATCTAATTGGCGGTGAGTGGGTCCTGAGAAGAAAGGATGCCCAATTACAGGCTTCTATTTTTCAAGTTAGGCCAACAGTCTCCAGAGATACCATGGAGGAAGCATTTCTGAATCTAAATAGAGAAAAAAAGGCTGTAATAGGGCCCCTTTTCCATCCGGAATGTTTCATCTGCACCAGCTTTTTAAATATACAAATATCCCTGTGAAAGCATCCAACTAAAACCTGGCTGGCTGATATCTTTCCTATCAGATAGTTGCTAAAAACAATATGCCTTTAAAAACAGTTGTAGCATAGATATGTTGGGGGGGGGGG